TTCTCCGAATTTAACACTTTTACTGGAGAAATTTTCATTTCAGTGTCCACATGAAGACTTGTGAATGTCTCTTCTGATCTGCAATACTTCTAGTAATATTCAACAAACTTATGTGGCAGTGTTGACTGTTCCAGTTACAAGTACTGAGGGACTGAGGTCCAGTGTTATACAACACTGGGATACTGAGGTCCATTGTTATACAACACTGGGATACTGAGGCCCAGTGTTATACAACACTGGGATACTGAGGTCCAGTGTTATACAACACTGGGATACTGAGGCCCAGTGTTATACAACACTGGGATACTGAGGTCCAGTGTTATACAGCACTGGGATACTGAAGTCCATTGTTATACAACACTGGGATACTGAGGCCCATTAATATACACCACTGGGATACTGAGGTCCAGTGTTATACAACACTGGGATACTGAGGTCCAGTGTTATACAACACTGGGATACTGAGGTCCATTGTTATACAACACTGGGATACTGAGGCCCAGTGTTATACAACACTGGGATACTGAGGTCCAGTGTTATACAACACTGGGATACTGAGGCCCAGTGTTATACAACACTGGGATACTGAGGTCCAGTGTTATACAGCACTGGGATACTGAAGTCCATTGTTATACAACACTGGGATACTGAGGCCCATTAATATACACCACTGGGATACTGAGGTCCATTGTTATACAACACTGGGATACTGAGGTCCATTGTTATACAACACTGGGATACTGAGGTTCATTGTTATACAACACTGGAATACTGAGGTCCATTGTTATACAACACTGGGAAACTGAGGTCCATTGTTATACAACACTGGAATACTGACGTCCATTGTTATACAACACTGGGATACTGAGGTCCAGTGTTATACAACACTGGGATACTGAGGTCCAGTGTTATACAACACTGGGATACTGAGGTCCAGTGCTATACAACACTGGGATACTGAGGACCAGTGTTATACAACACTGGGATACTGAGGTCCAGTGTTATACAACACTGGGATACTGAGATCCAGTGTTATACAACACTGGGATACTGAGGTCCAGTGTTATACAACACTGGGATACTGAGGGACAGTGTTATACAACACTGGGATACTGAGGTCCAGTGCTATACAACACTGGGATACTGAGGACCAGTGTTATACAACACTGGGATACTGAGGTCCAGTGTTATACAACACTGGGATACTGAGATCCAGTGTTATACAACACTGGGATACTGAGGTCCAGTGTTATACAACACTGGGATACTGAGGGACAGTGTTATACAACACTGGGATACTGAGGTCCAGTGATAAACAACACTGGAATAATGAGGTCCAGTGTTATACAACACTTGGAAACTGAGATACAGTGTTATACAACACTGGAATATTGAGGTCCAGTGCTATACAACGCTGGGATACTGAGGGAAAGTGTTATACAACACTGGGATACTGAGGTCCAGTGTTATACAACACTGGGATACTGAGGGACAGTGTTATACAACACTGGTATACTGAGGGACAGTGTTATACAACACTGGGATACTGAGGTCAAGTGTTATACAACACTGGGATACTGAGATCCAGTGTTATACAACACTGGGATACTGAGGTCCAGTGTTATACAACACTGGGACACTGAGGTCCAGTGTTGTACAACACTGGGATACTGAAGCTCAGTGTTATACAACACTGGGATACTGAGATCCAGTGTTATACAACACTGGGATACTGAGGTCCAGTGTTATACAACACTGGGATACTGAGGTCCAGTGTTACACAACACTGTGATACTGAGGTCCAGTGTTATACAACACTGTGATACTGAGGTCCAGTGTTATGCAACACTGTGATACTGAGGTCCAGTGTTATACAACACTGGGATACTGAGGTCCAGTGTTATACAACACTGTGATACTGAGGTCCAGTGTTATACAACACTGGGATACTGAGGTCCAGTGTTATACAACACTGTGATACTGAGGTCCAGTGTTATACAACACTGGGATACTGAGGTCCAGTGTTATACAACACTGTGATACTGAGGTCCAGTGTTATACAACACTGGTATACTGAGGTCCAGTGTTATACAACACTGGGATACTGAGGGACAGTGTTATACAACACTGGGATACTGAGGTCCAGTGTTATACAGCACTGGGATACTGAGGTCCAGTGTTATACAACACTGGGATACTGAGGTTCAGTGTTATACAACACTGTGATACTGAGGCTCAGTGTTATACAACACTGTGATACTGAGGTTCAGTGTTATACAACACTGTGATACTGAGGTCCAGTGTTATACAACACTGTGATACTGAGGTCCAGTGTTATACAACACTGGGATACTGAGGTTCAGTGTTATACAACACTGTGATACTGAGGTCCAGTGTTATACAACACTGTGATACTGAGGTCCAGTGTTATACAACACTGTGATACTGAGGTCCAGTGTTATACAACACTGGGATACTGAGGTTCAGTGTTATACAACACTGTGATACTGAGGTCCAGTGTTATACAACACTGTGATACTGAGGTCCAGTGTTATACAACACTGGGATACTGAGGTTCAGTGTTATACAACACTGTGATACTGAGGTTCAGTGTTATACAACACTGTGATACTGAGGTTCAGTGTTATACAACACTGGGATACTGAGGGACAGTGTTATACAACACTGGGATACTGAGGTCCAGTGTTATACAACACTGGGATACTGAGGTTCAGTGTTATACAACACTGTGATACTGAGGTCCAGTGTTATACAACACTGTGATACTGAGGTCCAGTGTTATACAACACTGGGATACTGAGGTTCAGTGTTATACAACACTGTGATACTGAGGTTCAGTGTTATACAACACTGTGATACTGAGGTTCAGTGTTATACAACACTGGGATACTGAGGGACAGTGTTATACAACACTGTGATACTGAGGTTCAGTGTTATACAACACTGTGATACTGAGGTTCAGTGTTATACAACACTGGGATACTGAGGGACAGTGTTATACAACACTGTGATACTGAGGTTCAGTGTTATACAACACTGGGATACTGAGGGACAGTGTTATACAACACTGTGATACTGAGGTTCAGTGTTATACAACACTGTGATACTGAGGTTCAGTGTTATACAACACTGGGATACTGAGGGACAGTGTTATACAACACTGTGATACTGAGGTCCAGTGTTATATAACACTGTGATACTGAGGTCCAGTGTTATACAACACTGTGATACTGAGGTTCAGTGTTATACAACACTGTGATACTGAGGTCCAGTGTTATACAACACTGTGATACTGAGGTTCAGTGTTATACAACACTGTGATACTGAGGTTCAGTGTTATACAACACTGGGATACTGAGGGACAGTGTTATACAACACTGGGATACTGAGGGACAGTGTTATACAACACTGGGATACTGAGGTCCAGTGTTATACAACACTGGGATACTGAGGTTCAGTGTTATACAACACTGGGATACTGAGGGACAGTGTTATACAACACTGGGATACTGAGGGACAGTGTTATACAACACTGGGATACTGAGGGACAGTGTTATACAACACTGGGATACTGAGGTTCAGTGTTATACAACACTGGGATACTGAGGGACAGTGTTATACAACACTGTGATACTGAGGTCCAGTGTTATACAACACTGGGATACTGAGGTTCAGTGTTATACAACACTGTGATACTGAGGTTCAGTGTTATACAACACTGGGATACTGAGGGACAGTGTTATACAACACTGGGATACTGAGGGACAGTGTTATACAACACTGGGATACTGAGGGACAGTGTTATACAACACTGGGATACTGAGGTCCAGTGTTATACAACACTGGGATACTGAGGTCCAGTGTTATACAACACTGGGATACTGAGGGACAGTGTTATACAACACTGGTATACTGAGATCCAGTGTTATACAACACTGGGATACTGAGGGACAGTGTTATACAACACTGGGATACTGAGGGACAGTGTTATACAACACTGGTATACTGAGGGACAGTGTTATACAACACTGGGATACTGAGGGGCAGTGTTATACAACACTGGGATACTGAGGGACAGTGTTATACAACACTGGGATACTGAGGTCCAGTGTTATACAACACTGGGATACTGAGATCCAGTGTTATACAACACTGGGATACTGAGGTCCAGTGTTATACAACACTGGGATACTGAGGGACAGTGTTATACAACACTGGGATACTGAGGGACAGTGTTATACAACACTGGGATACTGAGGGACAGTGTTATACAACACTGGGATACTGAGGGACAGTGTTATACAACACTGGGATACTGAGGGGCAGTGTTATACAACACTGGGATAAACTTATCACCCAGCACAGTAACAACAAACAAACATTTACAGAAGTTCCTTCAAATGTTTATTTTGTCGTGTCACAATGTATATTATATGTAAACCACAATATAAAATATGTGTCACAATGTATAGTATGTGTCAGTATCCATTTTCACTGAGAGAACGCACTCTTGATTGTTGGGAGTGTCAGCTGCGGTCAGCGTAACGTAGGGAGTGTCAGCTGCGGTCAGTCTAACGTAGGGAGTAAGTGTCTGCTGCGGTCAGTGTAACGTAGGGAGTAAGTGTCTGCTGCGGTCAGTGTAACGTAGGGAGTGTCTGCTGCGGTCAGTGTAACGTAGGGAGTAAGTGTCTGCTGCGGTCAGTGTAACGTAGGGAGTAAGTGTCAGCTGCGGTCAGTGTAACGTAGGGAGTAAGTGTCAGCTGCGGTCAGTGTAACGTAGGGAGTAAGTGTCAGCTGCGGTCAGTGTAACGTAGGGAGTAAGTGTCTGCTGCGGTCAGTGTAACGTAGGGAGTAAGTGTCTGCTGCGGTCAGTGTAACGTAGGGAGTAAGTGTCAGCTGCGGTCAGTGTAACGTAGGGAGTAAGTGTCAGCTGCGGTCAGTCTAACGTAGTAATATATTAGGATATCCAATGAACACCATTACTAAAAGCGAATTTATTTCATAAATGTAAACAGAAGAGATTCTGTGAACAAGCAGCAGCAGCTGCGTCACGTGAAGTGAGAATAATGATGGTTAACATTAGTGGTGCTGCTGCGTCACGTGAAGTGAGAATAATGATGGTTAACATCAGTGGTGCAGCTGCGTCACGTGAAGTGAGAATAATGATGGTTAATTTCAGCGGTGCCGCTGCGTCACGTGAAGTGAGAATAATGATGGTTAACATCAGCGGTGCTGCTGCGTCACGTGAAGTGAGAATAATTATGGTTAACATCAGTGGTGCCGCTGCGTCACGTGAAGTGAGAATAATGATGGTTAACATCACCGGTGCCGGATACAACTGAGAGTTAATATTGTCGGATTACAAGAAAATGCAACTACTGGAAACTGGTGCTGAAGAGTTTTTTTTTTTTTTTATTTTTATTCTGTTGATGATTTTTTATGGTGACTTTATCTGATGTAGCAAATGTTGATGATAAATGTTGATGATAAATGTTGATGATAAATGTTGATGATAAATGTTGATGATAAATTGATAAAACTTTTGCTGTAAATAGTTGGAAAACATGATTGTCCTACTTTTCTTAATTTTTCAGATTAGTAGGTAAGTTGATAGTTAACTGGTGGAGGTAAATGACTCGTCAACAGCTGGGTATCAGATGGCTCATCAACAGGTGGGTATCAGATGGCTCATCAACAGGTGGGTATCAGATGGCTCATCAACAGGTGGGTGTCAGATGGCTCATCAACAGGTGGGTATCAGATGGCTCATCAACAGGTGGGTATCAGATGGCTCATCAACAGGTGGGTGTCAAAGGGCTCGTCAACAGGTGGGTGTCAACCATGATGCTACAGCTGGTATACTTTAGCCAGATGATGTGAAACAGCTGGCAGCCTGTTGGTGGTATATATATCAGGATTTATTTTGACATGAATAATTCAGATATATTTGTGCTACTGCTTACTGGTAACTATTCAGAATTAAAAATTACACACACACACACACACACACACACACACACACACACACACACACACACACACACACACACACACACACACACACACACACACACACACACACACAGAGTTTATGACAAGGTGACAGAAGTAAGACAAGAGAGAGAGGGGTGGATCGACTGCGTATTTTTGGACTGCAAGAAGGCCTTCGACACAGTTCCTCACAAGAGGTTACTGCAAAAGCTAGAGGATCAGGCACACATAACAGGAAAGGCACTGCAATGGATCAGAGAATATCTGACAGGGAGGCAACAACGAGTCATGGTACGTGACGAGGTGTCAGAGTGGGTGCCTGTGACAAGCGGGGTTCCACAGGGGTCAGTCCTAGGACCTGTGCTGTTCTTGGTATATGTGAACGACATAACGGAAGGGATAGACACAGAAGTGTCATTATTTGCGGATGATGTGAAGTTAATGAGAAGAATCAAATCGGACGAGGATCAGGCAGGACTACAAAGAGACCTGGACAGGCTACAAGCCTGGTCCAGCAGCTGGCTCCTTGAGTTTAACCCTGCCAAATGCAAAGTCATGAAGATTGGGGAAGGGCAAAGAAGACCGCAGACACAATATAGTCTTGATGGCCAAAGACTGCAAACCTCACTCAAGGAAAAAGATCTGGGGGTAAGTAAAACACCGAGCATATCTCCTGAGGCGCACATCAATCAGATAACTGCTGCAGCATACGGACGTCTGGCAAACTTACGGATAGCGTTCCGATACCTCAGTAAGGAATCGTTCAAGACTCTGTATACCATTTACGTCAGGCCCATACTGGAGTATGCAGCACCAGTTTGGAATTCACACCTGGTAAAGCACGTCAAGAAATTAGAGAAAGTGTAAAGGTTTGTAACAAGACTAGTCCCAGAGATAAGGGGATTGTCCTACGAAGAAAGGTTGAGGGAAATCGGCCTGACGACACTGGAGGACAGGAGGGTCAGGGGAGACATGATAACGACATATAAAATACTGCGCGGAATAGACAATGTGGACAAAGACGGGATGTTCCAGAGAAGGGACACAGAAACAAGAGGTCACAATTGGAAGTTGAAGACTCAGATGAATCAAAAGGATGTTAGGAAGTATTTCTTCAGTCATAGAGTAGTCAGGCCATGGAATAGCCTAGAAAGTGACGTAGTGGAGGCGGGAACTATACATAGTTTTAAGGCGAGGTATGATAAAGCTCATGGAGCAGGGAGAGAGAGGACCTAGTAGCAATCAGTGAACAGGCGGGGCCAGGAGCTATGATTCGACCCCTGCAACCACAAATAGATGAGTACAAATAGGTGAGTAACACACACACACACACACACACAGCAGCGAGTAATGGTACGAGGCGAGGTGTCAGAGTAGGCACCTGTGACCAGCGGGGTCCCACAGGGGTCAGTCCTAGGACCAGTGCTGTTTCTGGTATTTGTGAACGACATGACGGAAGGAATAAACTCCGAGGTGTCACTGTTTGCAGATGACGTGAAGTTGATGAGAAGAGTTCATTCGATCGAAGACCAGGCAGAAATACAAAGGGATCTGGACAGGCTGCAGACCTGGTCCAGCAACTGGCTCCTGGAGTTCAATCCCACCAAGTGCAAAGTCATGAAGATTGGGGAAGGGCAACGAAGACCGCAGATGGAGTACAGTCTAGGGGGTCAGAGACTACAAACATCACTCAAGGAAAAAGATCTTGGGGTGAGTATAACACCAAGCACATCTCCTGAAGTGCACATCAACCAAATAACTGCTGCAGCATATGGGCCCCTGGCAAACCTCAGAACAGCATTCCGACATCTTAATAAGGAATCGTTCAGGACCCTGTACACCGTGTACGTTAGGCCCATATTGGAGTATGCGGCACCAGTTTGGAACCCACACCTAGCCAAGCATGTAAAGAAACTAAAGAAAGTGCAAAGGTTTGCAACAAGACTAGTTCCAGAGCTAAGAGGTATGTCCTATGAGGAGAGGTTAAGGGAAATCAACCTGACGACACTGGAGGACAGGAGAGATAGGGAGGACATGATAACGACTTACAAAATACTGAGAGGAATTGACAAGGTGGACAAAGACAGGATGTTCCAGAGACTGGACACAGTAACAAGGGGACACAGTTGGAAGTTGAAGACACAGATGATCAAAGGGATGTTAGGAAGTATTTCTTCAGCCACAGAGTAGTCAGGAAGTGGAATAGTTTGGAAGTGATGTAGTGGAGTCAGGATCCATATATATATATATATATATATATATATATATATATATATATATATATATATATATATATATATATATATAGTAGTAGGTTGGTAGACAGCAACCGCCCAGGGAGGTACTACCGTCCTGCCAGGTGAGTGTAAAACGAAAGCCTGTAATTGTTTTACATGATGGTAGGATTGCTGGTGTCCTTTTTTCTGTCTCATGAACATGCAAGATTTCAGGTATGTCTTGCTACTTCTACTTACACTTAGGTCACACAACACATACATGTACAAGCATATGTATACACACCCCTCTGGGTTTTCTTCTATTTTCTTACTAGCTCTTGTTCTTGTTTATTTCCTCTTATCTCCATGGGGAAGTGGAACAGAATTCTTCCTCCGTAAGCTATGCGTGTTGTAAGAGGCGACTAAAATGCCAGGAGCAAGGGGCTAGTAACCCCTTCTCCTGTATATATTACTAAATGTGAAAGGAGAAACTTTTGTTTTTCCTTTTGGGCCACCCTGCTTGGTGGGATACAGCCGATGTGTTGAAAGAAAGATATATATATATATATATATATATATATATATATATATATATATATATATATATATAATATATAATTATATATACATATATATATATATATATATATATATATATATTATATATATATATATATATATATATATATATGCATACATATACATAAATATAAGCAGAGAAGGTGGCAGCAGTAGGCCTGAGGAAGTAGCGCCGCATAACAGGTTGGGTGTAATCACAAATAAGAAGTGTACTTACCAAAAGTGAAGTGTAAAATTATAAAGTAGCAATATAAAAGTGATAAGTGTGGTAAATGAGGACTCAAAAGGGCAACGAGAAAAGAAAATTGGTAAGTCAGAGGGGGAAAGGGGGCGAGGTGAGAGTCATCGTACAGCGAGCATCGTACAGCGAGCATCGTACATCGGGCCCTCTGGATGGACGTCCCTCTGAGGAGTAACCGTACAAATCCCCTGTTTGTGGTTGGCGGGAAGTTTTTGAGTGGTAGACCCGGCCCTACGGTCATGGTAGCTCGCTATCTAAACCCTGCTCCAGAGCGATTATCATAACACAACACTAGCAGTAGTAGGAAGATAAAATTTGTAGGAGCAAGGAATAGGCAGGGGATTAAGTCGTGGCAAATGGGACTACAGCCCTGACAACAGTTACGAGGATAATGTTTTAGGACACAAAGACATTTACAATCTGAGAAGCAAGTATTGGGTACACATGTAGTAAAGGTAGTACATAACTGGGTGAAGAAAGACTTGTTAACACCGCTAGTATTATAATTATGAGAATTACTCTCAGTTTTAAATTTGGTATCTTATTAGTACTACGGATACACAGAGGTGAAATGTATTTCTGGCACATATAACAACTGACTACTCACACACACACGCCGCACACACACACATACATCGGGGCCAGGAGCTGAGTCTCGCCCCCTGAAAACCACAACTAGGTGAGTACACACACCCACTCATTCACACACCCGATCCTTGGAATTTGACGCGTCCCTCACCCCCCCACACACCTTTCCCTCCCCCACGGGACCTTTCCTCCCTCCCTCCTATCTTTCTCTCTCCCCCTCCCTCGCATTTCTCTCTCTCATAGCCTTTTTCCCTCCCTTCCCCCTACTTCTCTCTCTCCTCTCTCTCTCTCTCTCTCCTCTCTCTCTCTTCATTCTCTCACTCCCATAGCCCTATCCCTCCCCCTCCTCTCTCTCTATAGGCTTCTCTCCCCATCTCCCTTTTTCTACATTTCTACCCCTCCCTCGCATTTCTATCATAGCCTCTTCCCTCCCCCTCCTTTCTCCCTCTCTCCTTCTCCCTCTCTTTCTCCCTCTCTTACCCTTTCTCTCCCCCTCACATTTCTCTCTCTCTCCCCCTTGGCCTTATCCCTCACCCATACTCTCTCCTCTCTCTCCCTCTTTCTACCCTTTCTCTCTCCCCCTCTCACCCTCTCCCCCCTAGAGGACAAAAAAACCCAGAGATCTGGTAGATGAACCATGGAGGAAGACTGGGAGTTAGAGCTCCAAAAAGGGAGGAAGAGTGGGTAAGGAAGATAGTAAAGTTTGGTAAGAAAAGGAAGGAGCGGATAGCTGAAGAGTGCAGGAAGTGGGAAGTACAGGTCTTAGAGGCAGAAGCTGGGAAATACAGTGCTTAGAAGAGAAACTGCAAAGCCTGAGACAGATTAGAGAGACAAATGAGTCTCGACCCCTGCAACCACAATTAGGTGGTACAATTAGGTGAGTACACCACACACATACACCCCCATATACACACACACACATACACACACACACACATACACACATCACACACAACACACATACACATCCCACACACACACACATACTCACACATAACACACACACACACACCCCACACACACACACCCCACATACACAAACACATAACACATCACAAACACACACATACACACACACACACACACACACACACACACCACACACACACACACACACACACATACACACACACACACATACACACACATCCCACAAAACATCACCACACACACACACACACACACACATACACACACACACACATACACACAAAACACTTTACACACACACACATAACACCACACACACCACACACACACACACATACACACATACAC